AGGGAAGGGGGTCTTCAGGGCACTGTAAGCTTTGTTTTCCATGTGCCCTGAAAAAACAGATTCTTACCTGTTCGGAACCATTTGAGAGGAAGTGGGGCCGTGTTAAGAGGCCACCAAGAGCCATGTGGGGACAGGGCCCCCGGCATCAGCCACCTTCTTGTGCATAATAATCCCGAGAGCAGTGCAGCAGAGTCGTATCACTGTCTCCATGAGAGGGATGAGGCCCCTGAGGCTCAGAGAGACAAAGCCACTTGTCCGAGGCCACACAGCTAACCCGGCCTTTCTGGCTGACTGTGCCTTCCATGCCACTGGCGAGGCTGCCCTGAGTGACCCTCAGTGTCTCTCCTAGGACCAGGAGCTGGAGAGCCTGTCAGCCATCGAGGCAGAGCTGGAGAAAGTGGCCCACCAGCTGCAGGCGCTGCGTCGGGGCTGAGGCATGAGCTGGCACGGCTGGCCCCAGGGCACCCTGTGGCCCTGGCTCTGCTGTTCCCTTGGCAGGTTCTGGCCAGACGACCTGGACACTGCTTCTGGTAGGGAGGCAGCCTCCAGCCTGCCACGCGCCCCATCTCCTACTCTTGACCCCTCCCTGCCCTTGAACGCCCTCTGCAGGGCAGCCCCACAACTTTAAACACTGACGATTCCTTCTCTGAACATGGGCAGCTTTCTAGAAGTTTCCCTTCCTCCATCCTATCCACTGGGCACAACTGCAATAACTTCTGACCTTTTGGTGAAAGCTGACAACCCCTGACTGTAACATATTCTGAATAAAATTTATCTAAAGAAAAACAAATCTGCTCTGGGCTCTTTCCTCTGAACTCTTTCCCCTCTCAACTCAGCGTGGAGTGGGATGCACCGGATGTGGGCGGATGGACTGAGGGAGGTTGCTTCCGCCTGGGGGACTCCTTTCCCAGCCATTTCCTGGCTGTGGGATCTTGAGCAAGTGACTTTGTAGCTCCGAGCCTCAGTTTCCTCATCTGTAAATCAGGAATGCTGACCTGCCTCAAAGAGTGTGTGTAGGGATTCAAGCACACTCGCTGAGGTCCCCAGGCTCCTTCCTCTCCCCGTTCCCAGCCACACCTGAGCTGGGCCATGCAGAGGTAGGGCCAGGTAGAGACACGGGCTCTGCTTCCTGAGCCTGGGTTGCCCCTCCCTGAGGGTCCCTGCCATACGATCACCTGTGGTGCTGGGTGGAGGCCCTGATGGCCCCAGCCTAGTGCCTGTCGCAGGCCACAGGCAACAGACCTGAGCCTCTGAGCTGCGGGCCACCCCCCATCCCCTGGTTTAAACACTTATGCCCTGCTATGACTTACCGTCTGTTACCTGCATAGGAGTGTGGGGCGTCTGAAGAGCTCATGCATGTAACGCTTCACTAGAGCACAGGCTGGTCTTAGTCCCAGTTTTGTGAATGAGGAAAATGAGGCAGAGAAGGTGAAATGATTCGCCCAAGTCACAGGCAGGGATGATGCTGAGAACATTGAAGCATGGGGACTGTGAGGATTGCACAGTCAGGACCCGTGGGTACTGGCTGAATATCAGGGCCCATCATTTAGTCACTTGTCAAACATTCATGCAGGGCTGCTCTGGGCCCGCTATGGCTAAGCATGGCTGAGACAAGCCCTGGCTTTAAGAAGCTCACTGCCCAGCGGGGACAGCTGGACCCTTCAACAGCCAAAGCAACCCACGGGGACAAACATGCTCTCAGCAGGAGAAGGACACACCCATGCTGGAGCATGCCCCCTTGCAGGCCAGGAGGAAGGGGAGGCTGGGTTCGAGCCAGGCTCTGCTGGACTGGCTGGTTGGCCTTGGCCAGTCACTTTACCTGTCCAGGTGGCAGCTCTATGACAATCGTCCTTGGCCTTTGCAGCTCAAACACGAGCAAGCCGGAGAGGGTGATGATTCCAGGCAGTGGTGGACAGGGTGCAGGGAGGGGCCTCAGCCTTCTCAGGGAGGAACAGAAAAGGCATGGGCATTGTGGGCGAGTGAGGCTCAAAGGCATCGCTGCCACCCTCCAGGGGCCCGGGCAGAGCCAAGTCCACAGGCCAGCTGGGATCTGGGAGCCAAGTCCCTGGGGCTCTGCCTGGTGAGTCTGAGCAGGCAAGGTTCCATGGTGGGAACTCAGGTTTGGACCTAAGACTGGAGTTGGACGCCCCAGCCCAGCCATTAACTAGCAGGAGTCTTCGGGCAGGCGCTCCTGGCCCTCTCAGGGCCTCAGTTTCCTTATCTATAAAAGAGAGACAGTATTTACTATCTCCTTACCAGATTATGGCGAGGACTGGGAGCCCACACAGCATGACCCAGAAAAACACTGTGATGGGCTTGAATCATTTGGGGGGGTCTCGGCAAGCCTCGGTTTCTCTGATGAGAATGGGCTGCCCATGGCGGCCGATGCCCACCCCCAACCCCTGCCCCCAGCAGAGCACGGAAGGACACCCTCCGAACGGCTGGTGCTATTTATTTTTTCATGTTCCAAAAAGTTAGGTTTACATTCTACCCCAACAGTTACAGAAATAAACACAACATTAACTGTACTCCACTAGACTGTTAGAAATCAAAACAAGATGAGTTAGTAAATAAAAAGATCACAGGGACACCCTGTCCCTGAAACCACCCACCTCAAAGCCACCCACAGTGTCATAACCTCATGGAGTGAACATGCGACCAAACCGGAAGAGCCAGCGGGGCAGAAGCCATGATGTCTGTATCTTGTGCACAGTCACGTATATTATGCATACGTATGTACACAAATTAAGCATGAACTGGCTTGGGAGTCTGGTGAAGTTGCTTGAGAACAGCTTGAAGCAAATGGCATTTGTCACAAAGCACAGGTGTCAGCATGAACAGCGGCATCCTGGTGAAACCCCTGTAAGTGGCTTTTCAGAGTGAGCTTCAGAGAGGTGTGATTCCACACAGCCTTGGGGGAAGGGGGTCACCAGGCTGTGGGAGGAGACAGTCCCTCCACACCACCAGGTCACAGATGGCTCTGGAAGTAAAGGGAAAATGCAATCATTTCTGAAAAAGTGGGGGTCTGGGTGCTTCTGCTGGTGAGAATCAGAAAGAAGACCCAAGCAGCAGGAGGCGGCCATGGGGTCATGCTCACCAGCTCTCTCCTGAGCAGTGTGGGAGGGTTGCTCACCCCAAACTACGCTGGCAATGGCTGTACAGAGAGAAGGGACAGAGTGCACAGACCCTTTCTTATAAGGGGAGGACCCACCGGAGAAGCCTTGGCTGTATCACCTGAGTCGGGCTTATGCCTGGGAGGGGCAGATGACTGTGGCTTCAGGGTGTGTCCAGGCCGGCCTGAGGCCTCAAAGGCCAGGCAAATCTTTGACAAGGATGGCTGCACTTCTCTGCCTCCCGGTTACCAGGCTGGAGGGGCCGTGCTCCTTTAGGGCACCCAGTACCCAGCTCAAGGTCTCTGAATCCAGTGGCCCACAAGCCACAGCTCAGGAAGGAGGAGGAACTGCTGGGGATCCCACCAGGTGAACAATCAAAGTTTCTAGGGAATGGAAGAAAGGACAGATACAAACCCCAGGGACATCAGTGAAGCCATTCAGTGGCTGTGGCCAGCGACCAATGTGTCCAAGAGCCAAGGACTGGTCTCCCAGGCTAGAAGGGCGAAGGACAGGCTGGCTCCCTTGGTCTTGGGGTGGCTGTCTGGCAGGCATCAGCCACTGTTCTCAGTTGGCTCAAACGTGTGACAGCTTCCCACCTGGTCAATCTTCCAACCGTCTATAAAGCATACTTGGCAGTCCCCTGGGTACAGAAGGGAATGTTTTTCCCAGGTTGCTTTCGCCTCCGTTGACAGGCATGAGACATAGGCAGGCCCACGCACAGGAAGCCCTATGGAACCCACCAGGCTGTAGCCAGGTCTGATTCCGCTGGCCATGCTGGGTGGCTGCAGGCCCAGCTCCTCCACCACGTGCGGACCCAGATGCCTCCATGACACCAAGGGCGAAGCCCCAGTTCCAGGGTGGGGACACCCAGCAGCTGATACTCAGTGGGGGGTTACGTTTGCAGAGTCACATCACCATATAATCAAAGAACTGTCGGGCAGAACTTGACCCAAAGCCTCGGTCCCAGGGTGTCCAATGCAGATTGTGCAGGTGATCCTCTGAAACTACCAAAGGCCTCAGCCAAAGTGTGATCTAGCCCCCTGCTCCCCGAGCTCTTTAGCACTAGTCTATCCACGGACCACCACCAAGGCACACGCTGCAGGGCCACAGAGCCAACTGGAAACAGTGCTGACCAATTCAGAAACAGAAGCTTAGGAACAAGAGCCCCAAGCCACCCCAATGCTGGCGGGGCCAACTCCAGGCGCCGTGCCTGAGCAGCACCACATAACCCCCTTTGCTAAGCGGGTCCTGCCCTTGGACCCAGACACTCTCCGTGACTGCTCCGGAGGCAGCACTGCCATGCCCCAGGGAAGAGGAGGCCGCCAGGGCCCAGGTGGTTTTAGTGGGTCTCTTTCCCTGAAGCAGAAACTCCAGAGCCAGGGACAATGCAGCCGAAGGGAAGACCAACCCTATGACACTGTCATGAGATCAAAGACGGTCAGTTCACACCCAGGGAATGTTTGGCAAACAGGGCTCCATCCCCCCACGGAGGCCACTCCCAGGTGCGCAGGTCCCGTGCCACTGTCCAGGCCTCTCCTTGCCAGCGCTCCCTTGGCTTCACTGGGCAGAGTCCACCGGCCCTGTGGGTCCTGGGTGCACTGGCCTCTCCCTACCCCCCATGTAGCTCCCAGGTCCTTTACAAGGCCAATCTCCATCCTCCATTTCCACTCTTGGAAAATGCAAATGCCCTGCACACCCACACCCCCACACCCCTGGCCCCGCCCCACCATGGAGGCCTGTGGACACAGCCACAACACCAGATGGCAGTTACTTGGTGTCTGGGCCCTGGACGAGCGAGACCACGGAGGCCACAAACGTACAGGAACAGTGTGGCCAGGAGTCACACTGCATACCCCCACCGGTTCCTGAGGCAGACTGGGATTGAAATTTTATTTTTAAAAGGTAAAGCTGTTTTATTAAACATCTTTTAAGGACTGGGGGAATGACATAACAAACTTGAGCAACATGTGTAAACACGTGTGAAATGTGGTTTGATTTCAGTAGTTTATTTTGGAGACAAAGCAGTGCAAGAGGCCGGCCGCGCTTTCCTGTTTCCCTGGGGCTCAGGGTCAGAACCAGGAAAGGCGATGTACAGACATTGATCGGGGTTCAACACTCAAGTCGTGTAAACGTGGTTAGTCGTTGGGTCCTCAGTTTCCAAAAGAGCAGGGCAGTTCTGATGGCTTCTGCCCCTTGCCCAAGCCCTGTGCCTCCCTCCTTAAAGGGGGCACCCCTCCCGGCCAAGCCAGGCCGAAGGACCCCCACGCACCAGCTCAGGGACCTCTCTTGGGACACTCGGCATTCTCTCCAGTGTCCTCCGTCTCACTGGGCAGAGCACTGCCCAGAAGCCTTTTTCACTTCTTCAAAGTAAACTGGTATCTTAAAACACAAAATCATACTCAGGGAGGCCTGATGCTTCTCACCCAGCACTCCACATCTTCCAGGGACTATGGAGGCTCCTCTCCAACCCTTCTCTCTGCAGAGGGGCTGCCTGGACCAGGGGTCAGGCAGGAGAGCCAGTGCTTTGCTGCCAAGGCGATGGGGTGAGTCTGAGGTGTGCAGGAGGTGTGGCTCCCTGGTACCTGGCTGGCTCCGTGCTTGGGGCTTGCAATGAGAGGTGGACCAGGCTTGCTGGGTGAGGAGGGACCCAGCAGATGTGAAAAGGAGTGAACCCGCTGGGAGAGGGCCCTGATCTCCACCGAGTCATGCTGAGGCTCCCATGCCTGTCCTCACCCGGGTGGCTTCATGGAGAGGCAGGCTGCCTCCCAGGGGTTAGAGCACAAAGCCAGCCCTGTGGTGCTCCCTGGTCTCAACTGCCTACTAAAGACGAGGGTGCAGAGGCCCAAAGACCTGGAATGATTTGCCCAAATCACAGTACAAACCCTTGGCACAGGCGCCATCAGCTCAGGGCTCCCAGCCAGGCAGCCTCCTTCCTGGGCTTCTTCAGGGAGCGGCAGTGCTGGCTTGGGGGAAGGAGGCCGCTGTGCAGGGCTAAGTGGGACATGTGTTGGAGGGCCCGGAGGACGCCCAGCTTCCTTTCCTTCCCTTTTGTGAGGGAGCACAGCCCAGATGGCAGCCTCCTCCGGCTGTGGGGAGGGAGGGGTTAGCTGCACACCTGGCAGGGGTGGGGCTTACAGAGCCTTGGTGGAAATTGGAGGGAAAACAAGGAAGGGGCAGGTCCCGGAGCGGGGAGTCAGGGAGAAGGGAAGCCACTTTCACGCGTGCTGATCAGCCACCCACAGCCCTGATCAGCCACCCACAACCTGGCATGGGCAGGTTTCCCTTCAGGGTCCCCACAGGAATGGTCCACAGCGGCCACGGAGACCAACAGATGGGGATGTGCACAGATACTCAATGGCAGCCACACGCACACCCCGCCTCCCATTCAGACCTAGTGTTGAAAAGACAAGCGTGTGTAAACTCAGTGGAGACGTCAGCACAGCAGGGACCAGGTGGGGCCCCATTCCCCAAGGCTGGACCCCCTGGTGCTCTCTTCCATTTCTACCCACCCCTCATTCAGATCATGACATCAGAAAATCAGGTTAAAAATTAAAAAACAGAAGAATCAGATCACTGGGGATTCTTAGTAGTAGCATCGCTGTTGGGAGCTGCTGGCCCAGCGGGTATGCTCCGCGCCCCGCGCCGCCCCTCTGGGTCCCGGCTCCGTGGCTACTGGGAGGAGGCCTTGGTGGCCAGGGAGGCCACGCAGTGCTGCTGGAAGCTGGGTGACACGCCGGCAGTGCAGCCGAGTCTCTGGTGAGGCAGCTTGGCAGTGCCGCCTGCGTCGGCCTCGGCCTTCCAGGGCCTGTCCTGGCCCATCATGCTGCCGCAGCAGCCGGGGCTGGCACTGCATGTCCGCTCGCCCGCCAGGCCGCCCGCCAGCTCGGCCAGGAGCTTGCTGTGCCTCAGCGGGGCCACGTCCCCTGCAGCTGCCGTAGCTGTGCTCTGGCCCTGCAGGACGGTGGCGATGTGGTTCAGGAGGTCTGTGAAGAACTCGCTCACGCCCTCATAGCCTAGGGGTGGGAGAGAGAGCACAGGGGAGCATGAGCCAGGGGCACACATGGTGTGGAGAGGCGGAGGAGGAGGCAGGACAGATGGGCGTGCTGTCAGCGCACGATTTACAGAGAAAACGTGAGGCTCGGCAGATAAGGGGTGCTGAGGGAGTCACACGCTTGGGCACCCAGCCAGGGGCATGCTCCTTGACCTTTGGCTGTTGTCCGGGTGTGAGAAGCTGAAGATGAGCTGAGGATGAAACGTGCTTGTCCCTGTTCTTCTCGGTCGCAACTCTACTGTCTCACCCACCCACCCACCTGCATGGTAAAAGCCAGTCCGTGTGCAAGGGATGTTGGCGAGGCTGGAGATGGCAGCACCAAAGCTGGCTCCACACACTTGGAAAAATAAATACCCCTCGACTCTGTGAGGCCCAGCCGAGTCTGGCCTCAGTCTGAGTCCTGGAGACCACTTCCACCAAGAGCCTCAGCTTCCCTAAAAACTCAGAGCACTGCCTACCTCCCAGGTGGAGGCTGCCATGGCACCATTGAGAGGGGCTGGGAGGTGGGTGGTGCCTGCTTCACAAAGCAGCTGCCACCCCAACTGAGTCTGCCTCCTTCTCACCACAAAATACCTGCAGGGAGGCCCTCTGTGTTCCATTCTCTGAGGATCAAAGCCAAGGGACAGACATGCTGGGCATCACCAGCAAGATCCAGGACTGTGACAAGGCTCCCCAGGACAGGACACATGCTCCCCTTAACGAAGGGAAGTAGAACAGAAACCGTGGTGCCTGCCTGGGCGAGCGCTGCCCAGCACAGATGCAAACATCACAGAGCCCATGGGAGCCACCCAGCAGGTTTCGGATCTTGGGTGAGGATTCTGCTGACTCCCAGCAAACTGCTCCAAAAGAGATTCACACAGGGCGAGCGCCCCACCTGCCCAAGCCAGCTTGGAGGGATGGAGTTTTCAGACACCCTGGCCCTCCCTCTAGGGTAACATTTACAACCATCGGCCCCACTGGGGTGGGAATGACAGGTCAGACGTGGACACCCTGTGCCACCTCTTACAGAAAGGCCTTTCAAGGAGTGCCCACGGGTCTGGCAGAAGAGGCTGCTGAATCTGCCCACACCCTCATTTATTCAGCAAACAACTGCTATGGTTTGAGGACACCCACGTCTGAGGGGGATGCAGGGGTGCCCACAGTGGAAATAAAGATGGCTATGCTGGCTGGCACGCAGTGCCTCCCAAGATGGCACTGTGCCAGCATCCCGTGACCTCGTCTTGCCTGATCTTCATAATGCTGTCCCCATGTTACAGATGAGGATGCGTGACTGTTAGCCAGCACAGTGAAGGCGGGAATGACGTCCATGGTGTTCACAGCACTGGGGAAGCAGCAGCCACTGGGCTGTGAGCACACGGTCCTCGGCTTGCTGCATTTCTGCAGCCCCCGTTTCACAGGTGAGGACGCCGAGGCTCAAGGCAGCTCCTAAGAGGCAGAGCGAGATCTAAAGGACGCCTTCGGTCCTGTGTGTGCCTTGAATACCACATGGTGCCAGGTGCCCTACCATAGGACCAGGGGTGTTTGTCAGCCCTGGGCTGAGGCTGGAGGGCAGGGTAGGTGTCCCAGGCATGGGCATGGCTGCCAGGTGCCTAGGGAGAGATGCAGCAGAGGAGCTCTACCATCAGGTCAGTGCCAGGGAACACGGAGCCGTTCCCCAGCAACCCCTGCCGTCATCCCCAGACGAGGCCCTGGGGCCCAGGGCAGGGAGGGTGCTGTCTGTGGCAGTGCAGAGGCAGCTGCCTCCCCAGAGGCCTGAGGATAAACAGGAGCTCGGGGAGTGGACTGAGGCGTGAACCCGCAGGGCAGAGTGGCGGCTCCATACCAGCACTGTGCAAAAGCCATCTCCTCTGTCTGCAGGGTGGGAAATTGGTTCCCATTGCAGAAGTGAGCATTGAGCCTAAAAAGGCAGAGGCCAAGATTCCAACCCATGGAGAGATCCCAGCGGGCCTTTGCCCATCGCCTTGTGAGGACAAAGTGAAGCACTGGGGCAGGCCTGGCTCACAGTGTCATCAGCACATGCGGCTGTTGCTGTTATTATTCCAGAGTCAGTGTGCCAGCCCCTCTCCCAGGTGCTGCTGGATGCCCTTGGCCCGAGGGACCTCCTGTGGGGTGCAGGAGAACAGGCCTGTCCCTCTGCTTGGCCCCAAAAGGCTGCTCTACGCTAAGGCAGGCACACTGAGCCATGTCCTGGGGAACTGGCTCTGCCCTGCCTGGGTCCTGGGCCTCCCGTCAGCACCAGAATCCCTCACCAGGCTCTGCCACAGCCCCGTCCCATGTGGGTGGCCCTTCTCTTGGCTTCCCTGGAAGAAGCCTCCCTGTCCACACTGGCTCATAGTGCCCCACACTGGCTCACAAGGCCGTCCCTTGTCTGCACCCACAGACTGCGACCATCCACACATTTTGTTTTGGGGGCACTGGCCTTGCTCAGGTAAAGCTTCCCACCCCCTCCTATCTCCTCCCACCTTCCAGAACTTCCCTTCCAACAGGCCTCCCTGTGCCCCTGGCCCTTCAGCCACTGGTGCTGCCCCCTTTTCGTTCTGTCACTCAACACGCTCCGTGGTTTAGATCTCACACTTTGTTATCCTGAATACCCCTTGCGCCCTGGTTCCCTCACACCTGCACAGCAAAACCCCATGAAACCTCAGCTCTGGCTAAACCCGCGGTTCCCTCCCCACTGCACCCAAGGGCAATGGAGAAAAACATGATCGTCCCATGGGTCTGCCCTTCCGTTCAAGAGGACAGGCCTCATGGTGGCTGCTCCCCAACTCCCAGGGTGAGCTCCAATGTCCTCGGCTCACCACAAGCGCCTCCCCTGACTCTGTCCTCCACCCTTCCTGCCCCACAGCTGCACCTGCTGTAGCCACAGGGCTCCGCGGTGCCTCTCCTGGGACCTGCCTCTCTGCTCCAGTGTCGCCGCCTCACAGAGGAAGCCCCCCGACCGCCGGCTCTGTCCTTCACCTCCTCCCGACAGGGGAGGGCTCTTCCCAGAAGGGGCCTGGCAACGGAGATTACATGGCACCACCAGCATCTGGACCAGCTGGGACACACAGCAGCCTGGGTGACAGCAGCCCCGGGTAAGTGCTGACTGAATGACAGGAGGGTGTGCTCCTCGGAGCCTCGGCTTGCTGGCTGTGACCTGTGCTGCTGACTGCACCTGCGCATGCTCTCAGAGGAGCAGAAGTGACACACACAGAAAGTGCCCGGCCAGTGTGTGGAGCCACAGTCCTGCCTCACCCTCACGACAAATACCCCAGAGTCCCCACCTGCCAGGCACAGTCTCTGAAGGCAGGAAGCATTTCCTGAATGCTTCTGCACCGCAGCAGCTAACAAGGCTGGCTTCACCTCCACAGCAGGTGCTTAATAAGGGTCAGGATGGAGAAAGGAACGAGGGACCCCCATCTGGGGAATGGCAGGCACCCAGGCATCAAGCACGGCTCTACCTCTGAGTTGCTGTGGGAGGTGAACAAGCCACTGAGCCTTGGTGTTCCCAGGGTGAGGCACGCAGCCTGTTGACTGCATGGTGACATCACACCATTGTCCCTCATGCCCTGTGCTGGGCTCTGCTGCTCTGGTCCCCACAGGCCTCCTCGCTGAGAGCTGAGGGGCACACGGCAGAGCCTGGCTCAGTACCAGCAGGTTCCTAGGGCCCCAGTGGTACACACCATCGCCTAGGGCTCCTCCCCGGACCTGTGCCCAGTGCTGCAATTCTGGGCGGTTGAGGCAACCCGAGCTCAGGAATCTCTGGCCTGCTACCAAGGTGCTGTAGGGCCTGGACAGCTTCCTCCTCTCTAGGGCCTCAGTTTTCCAATATGTAAACTTCAGGGGGCTGTAATCCCTTCAAGGTCCTTCCTGCCCCTAAAATTGTGGAGGGCTTGGGGAAGGGGCTGATCTGCTGATGGCGCAGGGTGGAGAGAGGAGGTGAGGGACACATGTGCTGTGGCCACTGAGCCTGGCACCCCCAGGTGGACGTGGGATCTCCCCCTCCTCACACACCCTGTGAGCCCATCGCACAGGTGCTGTTGAGGCTTTTTAGGGCTGCACCTCCCAAACCCTGCAGTGAGGGAGGAAGCCGGCTTTTGGGCCTCGGTCACCTCGCCTCGCCTGCCTGGTCACCTGAGGACAGTCTCTGGAGACCGGCCAGTGGAGGTGGCCCGGCCGCCACTCACCTGGGAAGGCATTGATGTCGATGACGGCGTGCTGCCCCGTCTGGTTGTTGATGATGATGTCGATGCCGAAGAGCGACACGCCCAGCGCCTGCCGCAGGGCCCGGGAGAGCTCCCGGATGACCTCGTCACTTGGCCGCTCGAACACGCCCTCGATCTTGTCCAGCTGCAACATACACAAGGAAGTCAGGCTGTGGGCCGAGGGGCTGCAATGCTGCACTGCACAGAAAGAGCCCACGCCAGGCGCCACGAGGCCAGACAGACCCACTGGTGAGCACAGGCGGCCACTGGCCAGGTCTTGTCCTCCGAGGGCTGGCAGGCACCGGGTGTGTGAGGCTCGTTACCTCCTGTGGGCTCATCACAGCCTGGAAGGCCAGTGCCAGCACTGCACGCTACACACAGGGAAACCGAAGCTCAGAGAGGGTCCGGGCTGGTCCAAGGTCACACAGCTCAAAAACGCAGGGCAGAATTCGGACCCACAATTTTCAGCCTCTAAAACCAAAGCGTTTTAACAGGGAGGAAGGAGATGTGGAGTGTGCCGGGGACCTGGGAAGACATGGTGCAGAGCACGGAAGCTGGATCTTGAAGGCAGGAGGATGTGGGCCCCTGGGAGGGGTGGGAGGAGAAGAGAGGCCCCAGGGAGGACACAGGGGAGGCAAAGATGCAGAGGCCAGTAGCTGCAGGAGATGGCTAGGAGCAGCCAGGGTGCAGCGCCGGGGCAGAAGTGAGGCATTCTAATCTGACCCCTGCTTGCCCATCATCACAGAGAGCCCCAAGGCGGTGAGGGTGAGGGCGAGGGCGAGGGCTCTGGGGCCTGGCAGGCCAGCACAAGAAGTGCTACTTCCAAATGAACTCATACCCCAAACAATGCGGGATCCCCAAAGCTGCTCTGCTGCCTCCTGGGGTCCAAGTTCAACTTTCCTCAAAGCTTCCATGCACTAGTCAGGCCACCCTGCTCAGGTCTCCCTCCCAGCCCTGCACCCCCCCATGCCACTCATGTCCTGTGCTGGTCGCAGCTGGCCTGGGACAGGCACACACATCGCCATGGGCTCAGCCTGCCCCCAGCCAGGGCCTCCAGGGTAGTGGGGAAGGATTCTGGAGTCACAGAGACGTGGGTTCCAAACTTGGCAGTGACTTCCAGCTCTGTGGACTCAGGAAAAAGCAACTGACCTCTCTGTGGGGTTTGCTCTTCTGTAAAAGAGGACCTACAAGGCCTCATCTCAGACTTTGTTGATAAGGTGGAGACAGTACGTGCCTGGCTGGGAGGAGATTCCTCTGAATTCCAGGGCAGGAACTACATTCTGTCTCCTCTAAATCAGCCAAGGGAGGGCTGACACAGGGTGTTCAATAAAATACTGAAGTTCTGGGGGTTGTGGACTAAGGGGCCAAAGGGAAAGGAGTGGCTAATCCATGAAAGACAAAAGTGGAGCTGGGTTCAAAAGCTGGACATGGACTAACCACCTGACCCGGCAGCTCTGCTCCAGGGTACACCTCCCAGAGCTGAAAGCGTATACTCAGATGGATGCTGTCCACCCACGCTCACCACGGGGTTATCTACAACAGCGGAAGGGTGGGAACTACCCCAGTGTGAATCAGCAGATGAAGGCACAAACACTGGTCTTATCCACATGATGGAATATTGCTTAGCCATGAAAAGGAGCGAACTTCTGACAGACGCCACCATGCGGAGGAACGCTGAAAACATCATGCTGAGTGAAGGAACCCAGACACAAAAGGTCATATACTGTGTAATTCCATGTCTACAGAATATCTAGAACAAGTATCAGCAATCAGCTCAGTGGCTGCCAGGACCAAGACGTGGAGGGAATGGGCAGGCAGTGTCAGCGGGCACAGAGTTCTCTTCTCGGTGACGAAAATGTGTTGGAACCAGATAGAGGTGACGACTGGACAACAGCTGTGAATGTTCTCATCACCACTGAATTATTCGCTTTAAAAATGGTTAATCTTATGTATGTGAATTTACCTCAATTTTATTTAGAAACAACGTTTCACTCTGACACTCAGCCTGGAATGCAGTGGTGTAATCACGGCTCACTGCACACTCGAACTCCTGAAGTGATCCTCCTGCCTCAGCCTCTGGAGTAGCTGGGAATGCAGGCATGTGCCACCATGCCTGGCTAATTTTATTTATTTTTTGTAGAGACAGGGTCTCATTATGTTGCCCAGGCTGGTCTCAAACTCCTGGTCTCAAGTAATCCTCCCTCCTTGGCCTCCCAAAATGCTGGGATTACAGGTATGAGCACTGTGCCTGGCCCACCTGAATTTAAAAAAAGAAAAAAAAAAGTGAAAGCAGGCCAGCAGGGCCGGGGACAGAGCCCTGGTCACCAAGAAAAATGGCCCTTACCCAAGCACAGGGGCCTGGGAATGCCCAGCGAGGGACGTGGTAAGCAGGGACCCACACCCGGGCACCACCCATGCCCTGAGGCCTACACCAGCGCATCTCCCACCCTGGCTCTGCAGGACAGGCAGCCCCCCTGCTCACATCGCAGGCCTTGGCGTCTTGTCTGGAAAAAATCTTTTCTAGGGGACAGGAGTGGCCTGGCTGTAAGAGGCACTCATCCCTTAGCACTTTTTTTTTTCCCTTTTGAGGCAGGGCCTTGCTCTGTTGCCCAGGCTACAGTGCAATGGCAAGATCACAACTCACTGCACCTTCGACCTTCCAGGTTCAAATGATCCCCCCACCTCAGCGGCTTGAGTAGCTGAAACTAATGTTTGTATTGTTTTGGTAGGGATTATCTCACCATGCTTCCCAGGCTGGTCTCAAACTCCTGGGCTCAAGTGATCTGCCTGCCCCAGTGTTGGGATTCAGACATGAGCCACCGCGCCCGGCCATTGAGTACTTTTCTGAGCCTCCTGGGTCACTCTTGCCAGTGGGGGCCAAAGGCTAAGCCCAGTGGGGCGGCTTGGCCACTCGCCCTGCAGCCCAGGGTCCTCACCGAATCAGAGAGACCCTGGTGGACACCTTGACGCTCCCCATTCTCCACTGTGTACCCAAGCCACAACAGAAACCTTCTGGGCCTTGTTTTCTTGCCCCAGTAAATGGGGAAATAGAGTATCTCTGCTGTGAGATTGTGGTGCTGGTGAGAGGGGCTGCTGCCTTGGACTCACAGCACAGGGCCGGCGGCAAGGGAGCTCAGCTGCTGCACTGCCACACGGCCCGTGGCACGCCGTTTACAAAAATGCTCTCAGCTCGGCTACGGAATCTCAGAAATCCTTCCCAAGTTGTCTATTTTCCCAAAACCAAATAGCCATCCTAGGACAAGATCAAGGCATGGAAATCCTGCCTGGGGCCCTAGAGCAAGTGATCTGATCGATGCCTTTCTGGAAAGCAAGGAGGGGACAGAGGAGCTGGGAAGGCGTTCCTGGATCCCCAGCGGGCCTCAGCACCCGGCCGCCGAGACCATGCTTGTACCGCACACCTGGCACTGTGCTGGGTGCTTCTCACCCAGGAACTTCCTGGACCCCGAAACCCTTTGAGAACAGGAAGAAGAAACCAAGGCTCAGAGAGGTGACACGACTGGCCTTAGCTTAGGCCAGACCCCAGGCAGTCCCGTCAGAGTCTGTGCTCTTAACTAAGAGCCTAGACTGAATTTCGGAAAGCAAAAGGTGTGTGGGGGCCTGCAGGTTAGGTGTGACTGGGCCCATCCTCAGGGGCATCCTGCCACGGAGGGAGGAGGTGCTTTAAGGCCAGAGCAGGGCTTCCTGCAAGAGACTCCCAGGGAGGCCAAGGCGGGACTGGAGGAGCCCCAAGTGGGCAGGGGCAGGGTGTTGAGCAGTACTTGTGTTCCCGCACCTGGGAAGAGAGCTGGCTGGGTCAGGCCAGCCTGCGGGTGTCTAGGAGGGCTGACGTCCCAGTGCAAAAGGTGGTGCTAACCGCATTTCCCTTTTCTATTTTTAGAAGTCGTCAGTCCTGGCAGATTCCTGACTAGCAGCCATGCGCTGCAGGGAAGGAGGTAGCTGCAGACCTCAGAGGCGAAGGGAAGGACCCTGAAGTGTTTCTAGGCTGACCCTTCCCGTTTACAGATGAGACTGAGGCTGAGGTCGACAAGTGACAATCCAAAACAGTGACTTCCGGATGGTACCTCTGCCATCACGGCTGCTGGCCCTGCCCGTGAGAGGACACTCCGTCTGCAAATGCTGACTGCCCTCTGTCACACGGGCTGCCGAGGCCCCCAGAGCAAGACCATGCACAGAAGAAGCCCTATGATTCTGAAGCTTAGAAGAAAACCATCTCTTGCACGGAACATCTTACAATATGCTCAGCCAGGCACTGAGGCTCTGTTTAAAACCTGTTCCCAAAGCCTGACATGTTCCCAAGGGACTTTTGTCAACATCTTGAGGGACAGTGATGTTCCCTCCAGGTCCTGCCCACGCCTGTGCTCTGTCTAATCCTCAGCACACAGCTGGCTCCTCAGAGGACCCAGACACAAACCACAGACAGACAGGCCGCCTGGGTTCTGGGGCAGCCCCCAGGGACACAAGCACTGTGGCTGCAGTGGAGGCTGGCTTGTTGGAGAGGCTAGTCCAGGACAGGGAGGAGGACACCAGCAAAGCCCCCCAGAAGAGGAGGGCGCATGCATCCTCAGAAGAGCAGGTGCCCTGGCAGAGGGCTCTGAGTTTAGGGAAGTGGCCACTGGATTGCTGGACTTCGGGGAAACAGCAGAGGATGGCCTTTTCTAAATTCCCCAGAGGCAAGTGCTCAGGAATCACTGGTGAGGTCAGAAATCCTAAATTCCTAGAAGATCCAACTTTGGAATCAGACAGATCTGGGGTCCAATCCCAGCCCTGCACCCTGTGAACAGCCTTGTGAATATGAAAAGGTCACTAAGCCTCTCTGATGCCAGGAAGCCTGGCTGCGACCTGCACTGCAGGGCACCTGGGCTGACACTGGGCACAGTGACAGTCACTGAACGCCGGCCAGGACACCCGCTACCCACAGTGCTGGAGGCAAGGGTGATGCTCCTGCCAACCTTGGGACCACTGCAGGACAAAGAACTGAGATGGTGCTGCCTCCACAGCATTTTCAAAGACCAAGAACAAGGCAGAGTAGAGAGCAGTTTTCAAATTCCTCACACTGGGAGAAGGGTTGGCACACCTTCCATGTGAGCAGCTTGTGGCGAGTGGTCCCTCTCTGCAAGCCCAGCGTGCCCTTCACCTTTCCCTGTGCTGGGTCAGGGTGCAATGGCTGCCAGCACGCAGGCCCGAGGCCAGCAGAAGAGCAGGGGTCTCTGGAACCTCCCAGGGTCCCTGGCACAGAGGCAAAGGTGCTTCCCACCCTACCCTGCTACAAAGCTCTGCCAAGGACCCCATGGCCACAGCAGCCCACACCCAGGCCCGGGGGAGGGTGGTTTCAGGCCAGGCCACCCCAGCGGAGGGACCCACCTCCGTCAGGACTGATGACGACTCCGGCTTTGACACGTTGTGGCTGTTGAAGAAGATGGACTCGCGGTCTGAAAAAGCAACAGGAAGGAACTGCGTCAGAACCTCAAATGCAGGGACCACACTGCCGCCACCCAACACCAGGGGGCAGCACCACACCAGGCACGCACCATGCGGCCCTGGGCTCTGCTGGGCACCAGCCCCAGGTATGGACATATGCCCCATCAGGGCCTCTGATTCACCCTCTGCTCTCACATAAAAGTGACCGACATAATGAGCTGACCTCTGCTACTGTCTCACAGCATCACATCGGGTTTCCCCTGAGGCCCTGTTCCCAAAGTTTCCTGTCACCATACAGGAACTGGGGGAGAGGGGATGCGTGGGACCGTTAAACACCTGAATATCATGGCCAGAGAGGGCCCACAGTACAGCGGTCTCTCAGAGCTCCCAGCCCACTCGACTCTCTTTTGGGGGAACACGCTAGAGAGACAGGGACAGGCTGCCACGGGCACGTGAGCACTCAAAATACAAAGGGTTCTGCTGGTTTTCAACGACGTAGAGAAAAAACAGGAAATCAGAGAACGTAGGCTTCCACAGAATCCATCCAAGAAAGCACGCAGCACAATTTCTCTTTGGCACCGGAAGCTGGCACAGAGAGCTGAAGTACCCTCACCCCATACGTCTGGCTCCCGTCTGGCTCCCACCTGCCTCCCACAGCACCCGGCCCACACAGGCCCTCTGGGGACCCGCAGAGACAGCCCACTCCCATGAATACTGAAAGTACAAGTAGATCCCACAGTAGAAACATCTTTGGCAAGTAAACCAAAGTCACTTGGGGGCAACGTCAGGTCGGTGGGTCAGAAACACTGGCAGGCACTGGGAAGCATGGGCACACAAATGCAAGAACTGCAGAACCATGAGCCTCAGGCTGAGTTCTGGAAAAGGCTGTCTGTCCCCATCCCATGACCTCCCCGAGGATGGCACAGGACTGTCTGTCCTGGGCCACCAGCCCCAGCTGCCCCTCCTTGACTCCTTGCAGGGAGAGGCATTGTGGTTCCCGCCCCCAGGATGCAATGTACATCCCTGGGACCCAGGCGCCTTCATGCAAGGATAGGAGGGCACCGGCCGAGGGCTGCTGTGTGCAGGGGCCAGGCCAACGGGGAGCCTGCTCTGGCTGCCAGCGACCCCTCCAGCTCCAAGACTCTATAGCGCCATAACAATCATGCATGAGGGAGTGATTCGGGCAGAATCTAAGCAGGCAGGCGCTGAGGTGTACCTGGCGTCCTTCCCGCTAGCGGGGCACAGAGGCCCCTGGCTGCCCTTGTGTGCCCAACAGTCCTCCTGCCACTCTGAACAGAGCCAGTCCAGATAGGGGGCACAAAAGATGGTCCTGGGGAGGAGCCTGGGGAAATGAACACCCTGCAGGACATGTGTCATGTAGCCCCCATGATCTCTACTCCCAAGGCACCGGCAGCCAAGAGGGTGCCTGTGGGGATGGCATAAGCCCCACGGGCCTGAGGCTGGAGCAGGCTCGAGTAGCCAGGAGGGGAACACTGCCCACCTTCTCACCCTGTAGCCCAGCATGGCTCAGGCCTGAGCTCAGGGCACTTTCCCACATATTTCCCTGCAGATCCCCAACAGCAGCTGCTGAGCAGCAGAGCAGGCCAGGGGGAGGAAGGGCCACCATGTGCAGGTGAACACAGCAAAGATCAGGGAGGCTGGCAAGTCTGCAGGAGCCGCAAGGAGAACCCGGGCTGAACGGATGCTGGGAAGGGCTGGAGCTGGGCATGCAGAGGGGCCAGCCAGTGTCTGCAGACTGGGACAGCCCATGCAACTCAACAGCTTCTTCTGGCAGCAAGAGCAACAGATCAGGCCATTTCAAGAGGGTCCCTTTTCTCCTCCTGGCTAACTCTATTTTTATTTTCTTCAGACAGAGTCTCACTCTGTCACCCAGGCCGGAGTGCAATGACCCGATCTCAGCTCACTGCAACCTCCGCCTCCTAGGTTCAAGCAATTCTCCTGCCTCGGCCTCCTGAGTAGCTGGGATTACAGGTACCTGCCACCATGCCTGGCTAATTTTTTGTATTTTCAGTAGAGATGGGGTTTCACCATGTTGGTCAGGCTCGTCTTGAACTCCTGACCTCAGGTGATCCACCCGCCTCGGCCTCCCAACGTGCTGGGGATACAGGCATGAGCCACCATGTCCAGTCCTCCTGGCGAATTCTGACCTGGGTGCTCTGGCCACTAGCCCATTTGGCAGGGCAGTGAGAGATGCCCTGGGCTCACTGCCTCTCCACGCGCAGTCTGAGCAGGGGTCGGAGGAGTGGGAGCAGCCTCTGGCAGCCACCAGTCACCCAGAGACAATGGGAAGCATCAGGCAAAGAGACTTGGTGCCCAGCTCCAACACAGCTGGCTCCTCTAACACCCCAGAGCAGGGTGCTGTTCCTGGCATGCAGTGGCAAGCCCTTGCTCTTGGGAGCACCCTGGATTTTGGGTGCCCTGGGCAGTCTGTTCCTGGACTAGCCCAACAGCACCGGCAGAGAACTACCGCCAACGCTCTACAGGGAAGGAGCGCCACGAAAGGAAAAATGCGTGTTTTGCTTCTCAATTTATGGATTCAAAAAATAGGTTTAAAAGAACAATAAATGATAAGATTAGCCCCCAAATATCCCAGCAACTCAGCAGCACAGCCATGAGCAAGGGCCACACTGCTTTTAGCCTTATTTGCTTCATCTCGTATCTCTCTCGGGGGCGAGGGGAATGGGAAGAATGTGTCCCCATGCTACAGATGGTGACCCAAGTCACCTTCCAGTTGCCATATGAGTGCCACCTCTGCAGAGGGACCACCTGAGCTGCCCTTTCCAAGTGGCTCTCCTCCCCCAGTGGCATCCCAGGACGCACCCTCTTTGCCTTGGGACCCCTCATCTCAGGCCACAGTTGGCCCTTCTACTGTTTCTCTCCTTGTGTGCAGTTTCTCCCACTAGAACACAGGCTTATGAGGGCAGGAAGCTGGGTGCCTATCTAGTCCCTGAATGGACTCCCAGCAGCTCAAGCAGGGCTGGGCACATGGCAGGTTTGATAAATGCTGTATCACTGACTCTTAAGAGGCTCTGGAGTGGAGCTCAGCAGCCTACAGACGGTAGCCCGGCCACCTGCGCTTATAAATGGTTTCATTGGAACACAGCCGTGCCTCATTCACGTCTACAGCTGCTTGTGTACTACAAAAGCAGCATCAAATAGTTGTGATGGAGCTGGAACTGTTTATGATTTGGCCTTTTGCAAAAAAAAAAGAAGTCTGCTGCCTCCTGCTCTACATGGTAAGAGGTACCACTCATACATGCCTAAGAGAAACGAGGTCCAGGCGGAGACGAGAATGGAGGGAACCTGCATAAAGCTGGGAGCCCATGCTGCATCCTCAGGATAAAGATGAGTGAGACATAAACCCACTACACAGAAAGGGGGAGCAAAGAGACCCCCCCATCTCTTCCCTGGCACAGGGTAGAGGGAGAGCAACATCTCTCCATGAATGCCCTGCATGGGCAGAGAACACAAATGTTCCTAGTGGCTGGCACAAGACACAACCCGACTTTAGTTCCTGCCAAAGCCTCTGCACGGGTGCCACTGGCTGTAAGGCACACTGGATTTGAGACGTCAACACGTAAGAAAGAAAAGTGCAGCTGAGAAGCAAAAGAGACTAGACTGGCAGGTGTAGAGTGAAGATGCGTGTGCTTGTCTCTATCCTAGGTCCAGAAACATCCCACTCAAGGGGCTGCCATCCCTGCGTGGCCATGGGAAGCTGGGGGACCTGTCATTTGACAAAGGAAGCTGGAAAGCTGGGATGGGGGCTGGAAAGAGGCCAGAGCCCCAAATCCCCTTTCCAACTGGTCCAGCTTAAAGGGCTGCTGTTGCATTATATTTCTTATCCAGAAAGAGAACATACATGTAAAAACCACAGAACCCATGTTAGTTCCCTGGCACAGTGCCCTGGAGACAGGACACAGTATCAGCTTTGGCGATGGAGAGACACACTAACAGTTAATCAGTTCACATGAACATAATAAACAGTTCTCCTTCAGCTCCATGTGTTTCTCTATTTGGGCTTAGTCTGCTTTTTTTTTTTCTAAGAGGCAGAGTCCTGCTCTGTCACCCAGGCTGGAGTGCAGTGGTGCGACCACAGCTCACTGCAACCTTAAACTCCTGGGCTCAAGCAATCCTCCTGCCTCAGCCTCCTGAGTAGCTGGGACTGCAGGTGCACGCCACCATGCCCAGCTAATTTTGAATGTTTTTTTTCTGTAGAGATGGTTTGTCTGTGCTGCCCAGACTGGTCTCAAAGTCCTGGCCTCAAGCAATCTTCCCACCTGGGCCTCTCAAAGAACTGGGACTACAGGCATGAGCTACCAGGTAGTCTGGTCTCCTGGTCTGCATTTTATGGCAAACTGGCAACCTAGAAATGGCCAGACGAGAAGACGCACAGGCAAGGAGTCCTGTCCTCACAGATACAGGACAGGAGCCCACTCTGCCACTAATGGTTCCCAGTGAAGAGACAGCAACTTGCCCAGCATTTTGCAACCAGGAGGAAAAAGGAGACAACAAAAAATCTAAAAAACCTAACCACACTTCTGTAAATTTCTTTTAGAGTAAATTTCTTTTGGGGATGCAGTGACTCGGGTAAAAACAGAAAGGAGTAACTCCTCTTAATTTATTTTCCATAGACTTAAAGCATTATTTTTTTCAAAATCAGGGAATAAAGAGCATTTTTTAAAATGTCAGCCTCTTCTAGCCCATCACCTGGAGGAATATCTTTTGGTGGTATACAGCCATATACAAAAATACACTTCCAGCATTTGGCTCCCACCCAGTGGGCGGGGGCTGGGGCCAGGATGTCCCAAACCCTGAAAATACAGCCTTGAGTCCGGGAGCCACAGGCATGGCTGGGAAGGCCGCCTGCCCTCAGGGGGAAAAGGAACACCTGCATGTTTCCAAAGCCTCCGCTCTCTGTGTTGTGTCAATGGAAAGAGAAGAGGCATCTGGGGGAAGAACGGCTGAGAGGGGCGACCGCAGCAGCTGCGCCTCCTCCATGAGGAGTTGGACACCCGCCAGGAGGCATGGATGGCCACAGGCAGTCCCTGGAGGAGGACGCCAACAGGACTCATCTGTCAGCTCAGGTGGAGGTGAAGCAGCTGGTGTCTGAACCCTTCTGATGAATGTGGGTCCCCCTTGCTGGAAGAAAACTGCATCTTATTTGAACAAACCACAGCGGGGCAGTGAGTGTTCTCCAAGGGGTCCTCCTGGAAAGCCACACTTATTCCAAGACACTGCCACTCTTCCAGAGGTGTCCAGAATGTGCCTTCAAGATGCCTTCGGAAGCTACTAGAACATTCTTTCAAGCAGCTCCACTGCCAGCAAATCTTTAACTCAGTGTCCATTTTTAAAATGGCTGGGGCTGGAGAGGGCAGTGAGCGGCTGGCGGAAGGAAGGTCCCTCAGCGCAGCAGGTCTGCGGGCTGCTCCCTGGAAAGCTGCCTCCCAGGCCCACTGACAACAGCACCAGGCAGAGAGTGCCCTACATGACACCCACATGACCCCTAGACCACCATCCACTGACTCAAAACCCGCTCACTGGCACGGTGGGAGTCCTGCACCCAAGAAGACCTGTGACCCAGCGGCTGCTGCTTCTAACAGAGCCTGACTCACCCTGGCAGCTACACAGTCAATGGGCAACTCGGTCTTAGGTTCCCCCAGGGGGAAAAAGAGACCCAAGGTAAAGACGGCTCAGCAGGAGACGGCAGGCAGCACCCGCCCTCACTTCCCTGGAGGCCAATCCATGCCACGCCGGTCACACCTAGCCCAGCATGTTCCTCTGTGAATCTCATTACAGTGTGGGTCCCGAAGAAGTGTCCTGGGGACAGAACACTTCCGGATGCTTCTTGGAGTCTGTGGTGGTTCAGGTGGATGGGTTCCCCACAGTGACGCAGGGAACAGGGACATTTTATTAGTTCCCCAAGACTTCTTTATCTCTCCACTGTACACAGCTCTTTTCACCTTCAGAGCGCCTCTCCATCCCACCAGAAAGAACACGGGGTGGCGGGGACAGTGCCGAAGGACAGACAGCTGCTGCCACATCCCGGCGGGGCCCTGGCGTCTCGCTCAGCCCGAGATGGCGAGAGGAGCGGTTACCTGATGTGCCTGCGGAGAAGTTCTTGAGCGAGGGCCTCTGAACCACGGTGTAGGACTCGCCCACTACAAACACCTTGTACAGGACGGCGTTGTGGTTGATGAAATTCTGGACCACGCAGGGTGGCTGGATGGCGTTCAGGCCCTCCTGGTTGAACACGATAGCCATCTGGGAAGACGAGGGGTCAAAGGCTCTGTCAGAATCTACCACCCTCTCAGCCCCTGACCTGTCCAGCACACCGTCACCAAGGTCCATCCCTGGTCCCGGGGCTTGAGGACTCCCCGAGAGGAACCTCAAGCCAGGGTGAGTGGAGAGGGACCTGCAAAGAACACCTGGGGATGCACTGCGGGGCTGGAGATCTTGCCTCCACGGGGCCTGCCAAGTGTGATCGAGCTGACTGTGCGCTGCATGACTTCTGTGAGTGTGGAGCCACTAGTCACACTGTGGTCCAGGGAAGGGGACTCTTGTGGCTGTGTGCTGCTCAACCCTCTGACCTCCTAAAGGATCCTCCACAAAGACCCGGGAGGAGGGGGAAGGAAGCAGATGACTCGGGCGCAGGAGTCAGGAGGCCTTGGGCCAAAGCCTGTCTGAGGACAACGGCTGCCTCTTGTCGAGCAGTTGTGACAAGCGAGGCCCTGTTCTGAGCATGTACACAAGATACCTAGTGTCCCCCTCATGATGCGCCTCTGAGGTGAGCATACAACCTCTCCCTCTCACAAATGAGGACGATCAGGCGCTGAGAAGTTCAGTGACTGTGGAGAGTGAGCAAGCCCAGGATGGAATAGGGTCTGCACAGCACTCAGCCTCGCCCCTACACACCGAGCCGCACGACAATCCGCAGACAACAGGCCTGTGTGCTCCTGGTCCTTGACTCCTCTGGGGACAAAGGTCCCTGACAGGAGGATCTGGTAGGGGCTGAGGTAGGGAGTGCAGGGGGCAGCTGCCAAAAACCTCGCAGCCACGGCCGGCACAGGCTCTGCTCAGGGCCTGCTCTAAAGACGGAGGGGTGGACATAGGCCCAGCCGATCCAGCTGCCGGTGCCGGGGTCACGGCTAATCCCTCATCCCGCAGGGCCCCAGGAAGGAGCCACCAGACGCCTGGGGCTGGTGAGCAGGGATAATGGGCCCTGGACAGCTGGCTGCCTCCCCAGCTGACACCCCTCATGTCAGCTGTCACGGAGCGCCGGCCCTACGTGCCTGGAGCCCAGCTGGGCAGGACAGACGTGGAAATGCAGGCCACATGGGGAAAACAAAAAGTGTGTGTCTGTGCTGGGAGCACCGGGGGACGGCGAATGTCTCCTCAGCCTTCTGACAAGAATAAAGGACAGGAAAAACACAAGCAGCTCTGGAGTCAGGCAGGGGCTGAGTCCCTGCTCGGCACTTGCTGTGTGGGCCCAGGCTGGGCCCCACCCTGCTTAAGCACCACTGTCGCCTTTGTAAAATCATGGGTGGTTCTAGGGGTGCTTTGAGCTTTTGGCTGTTATAGCTGGAAAAAAAAAAAAAAAAAAGACAGATTCTACTGTGGAGCAAAATGAGTACCCTCACACTGCCTCAAAAACAAAACAAAAACCCAAATGGTTCTGTGAACATAAAATGAAGACAGAGTGGTTTGGTAGAACTGGCCTCGGTCTGGGTTCACTCTGGGGCTGGGAGATTCAGAGGCAGGGAGTAGGCGGGCTGGGATGCAGACGAGGACCCCCGATCAGAAGCACCAGCTGCCTACAGTCAGCCACGCATGGTGCTACCCTCCACCCCCGCTGCACTCGGCTTCCCCGGGTACCCCTGGAATCTGTGAGGAGCTTGTCCACCTCTACCCATCTTATGGATGGTATCCACCCCAGAGGGCACATCCCTGTGATGCCAACATGCTCCGTCTGCACACAAGAGCCCACTAGGGGTCTCTGAGTGCATGGGACGTGGCGGCACACATTGCTGGCAGTGGACCCAGAGTGCCTGCTGGGGATTGGGGGGAGGGGTCCCCATGGGAACATCCTGGAGCCAGATGGCTAGAATGAGGGGTGATATATAGCTTCCCCTGAGTGTGCTGACCCCATACTTGAGGACTCAGAGTCCCGAGGCCCATCACGGGCATCTTGAGAGGGGCTCGCCTGGATCCATAACCCTCATCCCCTTCAGCAAGTACCCAGCAGGCTCCAGGGAAGCTGGTTCCCACAGCTTATCCAACAGTCCACCAGGGCAGACCCTGGGCAGCCCAGGCATGGACCCCTCATCCTTCACAGAAGCCACTACGTCTCAGTCACAGATGTGGATGGATACTCTGGGTGGCTGGGTAATTTGCCAAAGTCACACAAACAGCAACACACAGCACCAGAATTGGTCCCAGGTCTGTGAGATTTCCCCAGCTCGGCCCCTCAGGCCTCAAGTGACTCACAAAAGCAGCTCCCTCGCCCAGGGCTGCCTGGTTCTGAGTTAGGCTGATCTAATCACACTAATGACTGCGCTAGTGCTTCCATCAGATAACACCCAAGCAACTGACACACAAAGGAACCATCGGGTGGTGAAAAGGGGCGGGTGGAAGGCGGGCAGGCAGGTACTGGGGCTGGGGGGGCCTGGGGGCTGGCGCTGCTGCTCTTGAGCCTTCCTACTTCACCCCTGGCCTGGCACATCCTGAAGGGTGCCCTGTGCCCCCCACCACCGGGCACAGAGTCCAGGCAGGCTGCGGCCGGGGGTGGGGGCACCCACAGGAAGACTCCATGAGGGCTCCTGATTTCAGAAGACAACTGACAACGGGACGACGAGCTGTCTCCACACTCCTTCCCATGACGGCACACTCCGTGCTACACCGACAGTGTCTACTGACGTTTCCCCGTAACTGTAGGCCAGTGATAAAGAGCAGAATGCAACCCAGGGAAGCTTCATGCTGCTGAGTCTTCCCTTTTAGTTGTGAGCTCTGGGGGGCATTTCTGGTAGTGGGGCTTTCCAGGGACAGGCCGTCTCCAGGGAGCCCACTCCGGTCAGATAGCTGTTGCCCAGCGCACCCCCACGTGTGCCCAGTGGGGAGACCCAGGCAGGGCTATACCCAGGGCAAAGGCAAGGCCCCAGGCATGACTCCCGAGGGTGGAGGGGGCTCCGGACCCAGGAAAGTTCCTGCATGACCGTCTGCTCTTCTTGCCCCTGGAGTCCTCACAGGCTCCTTGGCTGTCTCTAGGGACAGGACTCACATCCGACACATCTGTCCCCTTGTCCCCGTGGTCCTCAAGGGGTCAGGAACATCCATAGAGTGAATAAAAGAATGAATCAAAGCATGCCACAGGGCTTGATTCCAAGCAGCCCCCTTTTCCTCCCCAGCCCATCTCAATTCAGTAGCATGGCAGACCCCTGTGGCAGTGACAGAGCCTTCTCAGAGCTAACAGCCCTCAGGTGGGCCGAGCCTAGTGCCAGGCCCTCGAGGAAATGACACTGATGGCCCAAAGGACAGATATCCCTACAGGGCTGGCTGGGCTGGGGCATGACCTGCGCAAGCTCCACTATGGACTGAACATGTGGCCCAGAATTCATACACGGAAGCCCGTGCCCCACTGTGGTGGTATCTGGAGATGGGGCCTTTGGGAAGCCTTGAGGGCGGGGCCCTCATGATGGGATTAGTGCCCCTATCAGAAGAAATCAGACAGCTTGCTCTTGCTTTCTGCCCCTCCTCATTCACACACAGAAGAGGCTGTGTGAGGACACAAAGGTGGCCATCTGCAAGCTAGGAAGAGGGCCCTCATCAGAAACTGACCCTGCTGGCACCTTGACCTGGGACTTTCACCTCCAGAGCTGTGAGAAAATAAATGTGGCTAAGCCACCCAGTGCATGGGGCTTTGTTATGGCTGTCAGAGCTAAGACAGGCTCCATGGAGGACAGGTGGGTCCCCAGCACAGGCTCCTGCGTTGGGGACAGGACAGGCCTTGGGGTGAGGGCATGGACAGTGTATGAAGCCACAGCACTCCTGTTCGATTCCTCTGGAGTCCAGGGAAGGGAGGGAGGCTGTCTACAAGGAGCCGGGACTAACAGCAGGGCAGGAGCAGTGGCAGTGAGGAATTTGGCACACAGAATTTGCCAAGGTCGCCATGAGACACGGTGAGCTGAAGGGATGGGGGTCCGGGTGACAGACAGTCATATCTTCTTCCACTTACCTCGTGAGAGTTGGTGCCGTGAGCCACTCTGGTTTTGCAAACTATGGGTTGGGGAGAGAAAAGCAGAGAGAAATTAGTGAGGACATTCATCCACAAGGCAGGGGGACGTGGCATGTCTAGAAAAGAACTCTAGCTGAGACACAGACTCTGGACACCTGGTATCTGCACTCGGGGTAATGTGGGTAGGCACCCCCGGCCAGGCAGGAGAGCATGTTGCCCTGTGTCCTGCATCAGGACCCATTTCTATGGTGTGGGTGGAGGTGAGACCCAGGGCCACGCCCTCATCCATCCTCGGGTGAGCTTAAACCGAGAGCAGACTGTAAACTCCGCCCTGCTCCCCCTCCCCCCAACCCATGCTGGCCCGCAGCCTGCACTGCCTGCCCTTGGGTGGAGCTGCAGTGGTACGCACTGAACGGGAAGGCCAGGCCGTTCTTCTCCAGCAGCCGCACGGTGTCATCCCCACGCAGGCTGGTGAGCTCCATGAAGGGCGGTGAGCAGATCCTGTCATCTAGGGCAGAGGGGGAGGCCTGGTCAGCACAGGTCCTGGGCAGCCGCCCCAGGTGCACATCCTGTGACAGCCCACCCCACCCCAGGGGCCACCTTCGGTGCCCCTGAGCTCCTGGACCTGACCGTCCCCAAACTCTGCAGTCCTGTGTGCTCATGTGTGTGAACTACACCCACAGCATACCCTGGCGTTACACTAACAACACTTCTGTCATTACAAAACTTGCGTATGGTCACTGTGTAAAATCCAAAGAGCACAGAAAAGTCAAAAATGTGCATATTCATAGACGGTACAACTAGTACTCCCACCACAGTGGCCTTTGGGTCACGCAGACACTTATACACAGAGAGCTTTGCAAAGAGGATATTGTTTTGTAACCTGAATCCTCACTTAATAAACCATGACCGTTTTTCTGGTTCAATAAAGATTTTCCCACCATGTGATACACTGGCTTAATAATAATCGCAGTGACAGTATAGCTGTTAGCACATGTCTAGCGCTGTGCTGAGGGTTTTGCAGGCAACACCTCTACAGTTTGCAAAATAATCCCATGAAGAGGAAACTGGGGTCAGAGAGATTAAAGAACTAGCCTGTGGTGACACAACAGTTCCCACATGGACACCGCCTGACCCCCTCACCTGCCAACTACTTAACATAATGGAGGGCATCTCGCGGTGCCCCAGAGGTGGCCTCCCGGCACGCTCACTGCATCTCTGCTGCACGCTCCAGCCCAGGCAGAGGCTTGTCCCTCTGCCGATGCCTCCTCACCCTTCACAGCTTGGCGTTCCTGGGCCCCTCCCCAGGCCTGCCCAGTGGATTCTAAGGGTGAGCTCAACTTTCTAAAATGCTCGAAAGCTGACCCGTTCTGTTCATCTTGGCTTGTGCCTGGCAGCGAGCAGGGGTAAACAGATTTTTGTGGGATAACAGAATGTATTTGGAATCTCTCTGCTGATGATGAAATTACTGGTTTGTTATTATTGTTTCTTGTCATTGTCCCCCTTCCCTGATAAGACCACAGACTCCCCAGGAGGTGGGACCACCCTGTACTTCAGGGCACAGGGGCCAGGAAAGGCTGAGCATTAGTAGGGCAGGGGCAGTCTGCCACCCACAGGCTTGGAAACCAAACCAAAAGTAAACAGAGCAAAGCGGCCTGTCTCCAGCTTCTAGCTACTTGGCTGGCTAGGAGGTCAGTACATTAAATCAAGGTAGATCCAGCCTCATTTATCTCATAAAAACAAATGCCAAGAATTACACAGCGTATATAAAAGTGCTTTTATCTCCCTCCTCAACCTCATTCCCATCCCCCTACTCCCATCCTCACAGTCTAAACTCCAAACAGGCGAAGGATTTGTGGGGTGGCAGTTTCTCTGGAGCACTGGGAGGGTGGTCTGCAGCCAGTGTTTCCCCAGCCCCTGGCTGACAGTGACTTGCAGGCCGTCTGCACAGAGGCCCGTTCAACCCGCAGTGGACCCTGACAGTGTCCAGAAACAGAGGCCCCAAGGTCACACAGCAGTCACCAGCAGAGCCAGGACAAGGAGCCAGGTTCACCTGGCAGCCCAGGAGAGGAGAAGTTAGGAAAGTCAGGGTAGGGAGGGAGGGGAGCCGGGGCTCAGCTGAAAACCATTTTCCAAACAAGGCCCCAGGCAGGGTGCGAATACTGTGAGCACTGGCAGGCTCTCCACGGCTATCAAGGGAGGAAGCAGTCTGTGCAAAAGGCTCCTTGCTGCAAACACACAGCTCCTACAACCCAGCTCCAAAGGATATGGTGCTCAGGCCTGAACAAGCTGGAGGGTTCTGCCATGGGCAGGTTTCGGGCAGGCACTGGCTCACCAGCCTGGGCTCCACCCTTGGCCTCTCCTCCCACAGGAAGATTTGGAGGCTGCTGGGGTCAAAGAGGCCACCTCCTCTAAGAGGTTCCAGACTCCCTCTGGCCCCCAGAGTTTTTAGAGCAGGTGAATCAGCTTGGCTTTCAGATTTCAATGCCCTCCTCAACTGTCCATCCCCAACTCGGCCCAGCCAAGCTTTTACATAATGTCACTAGTGACCAGCAGTCAATGTCTCAATAAACTGCATCTGTTCCATGCCAGACACTGTTCCACATAGTTACACAGTAACTCATTTACCCCCCTAAGAACCCCGCAAGGAAGCACTCCTGTCCCCTGAGAATTTTACAGATGAGGAAACTAAGGCACAGAGGTGGCACTTCCTGCATAAGAGTTCCACAGTGAGCCAGTGGTACATACCCGGACCATCTGACTCCCAGGCCCCTGCTGTTGACCATGGTCTTCCTCACAGAAAATGTGCCTGCTGAGCTCCCTGGCTCAAGGGGTTCCTAGCAGTGTGCTACTGTGCTCTGTGGCAAACCTCAAAATAATAGCAGCATCAACTAAGGCAATACAGCATATTAATAAAGGATAAAAACCACAGGATCATCTCAATGGGTGCAGAAAAAGCATTTGACAAAATCTAACACCCTTTCATGACAAAAACACTCCACAAACTAGGAACATAAGGAAGCTTCCTCAACCTTCTAGAAAAACCCAGTCTTCCCCATGAAAGACCAGACACTTCCCCTAAGATCAGGAACAAGATAAGGAGGTCTGCTCTGGCCACTTATATTTAACACTATACTGGAGGTTCTAGCCGTGGCCATTAGGCAAGAAAAATGAAACAGAAGGCACCCAGAGTGCAAGGAAAGAATTGAAACCATCTCTATTTGCAGATAATAGGATCCTGTATATAGAAAATCCCAAGGAATGCACATATAAAAAAACCCTCCAAAACCATTAGCGCTAATACATGAGTTTAGCAAGGCTGCAGGATACAAGATCAATATATGAAAAGCAACTGTACTTTTTAAATTAAAAAAAATTATATATATATATGTATTTTAGACAGGGTCTCACTCTGTTGCCAGGCTAGAGTGCGGTGGCACAATTACGGCTCACTGCAGCCTCAACCTCCCAGGCTCAAGGGATCCTCCCCGCTCAGCCCTCTAAGTAACTGGGACTACAGGCGTGCATCACCATGCCCAAGTAATTGGTAGTGATGGGGTCTCACTGTGTTGCCCAGGCTTGTCTCAAACTCCTGGGCTCAAGTGATCTTCCCTCCTCAGCCTCGAAAACACAAATCGAAACCACAACAAGACACCACTTTACACCTACCAATATAACTATAATAAAAGAGATAGACAATAAGAAGTGTCGTTGAGGGTACAGGAAAGTTCAAACCCTCATACAGTACTGGGATTACAGGTGTAAGCTACCATGCCTGGACTCAATTGTATTTCTATACCCCAGCAGTGAACAATCCAAATGAGAAGCTAAGAGAACAATTCCATTTATAAAAGCATCAAAACAAAATAAACAAATAAGCGTAAGACTTAAACACTGAAAACTACAAAATATCATTGAAAGAAATTAAAGAAGACTTCAATAAATGGAAAGACACATAATGTTCTTTAACAGGAGATTTAATATTGTTAAGTTGGCACTACACACAAATTGATCTACAGACTCAATGTGATAGCCATCAAAACTGTAGCTTTTACTTTGCAGGAAATGACAAGCTGATCCTAAAATTCAGCTTGAAATATGAAAATGCAAGAGACTCAGAACCACTAAAATATCTGGGAAAAGAAAGAGTTGGAAGACTCATACTTCCTCATTGTAAAACTTGCTACAAAGCTAGAGACAATGTGGTACCGGCATAAGGACAGACATAAAGATCAATCAAATAGATAGAGAATCTGGAAATAAACTTGTGCATCTATGCTCAACTGATTTTCTACAAGGGTGCCAAGACAATTCAAGGGGTGGAAAGAATATTCGTTTTAACAAATGGCGCTAGGACAACTGAATACTCACATGCAAAAGAATGAAGATGAAACCCTACTTCACATCATATAAAATTAATTCAAAATTCATGGTGATTATGAGAGCTAAAACTACAAAACTCTTAGAAGAAAACACAGATGTGAACCTTCATGACTGTGCATTAGGCAATGGCTTCTTAGCTAGGACACTATCTAAGCAAAAGCAGCCCAGGGAAAAATGGAATAAATTGGGCATCATCGAAATTTAAAATTTTTTGCTTCAAAGAGTACTACAAAAAAATGCATCCTCAGAAAATGGGATGAAGAAAAAAAAAAAAAAGAAAATGCAAAGACAACCCAGAGAATGGGGGGAAATATTTGCAAATCATGAGAAGGATCTAGTATTCCAAATATATAAAACACTATTTAAAGAACTAAACAATAAAAAGATATCTCTATTTAAAAATGAGCAAAGGATGTGAATAGAAGGTTCTCAAAATAAGATATATAAATGGCCAATAAGCACATTATTAGCCATTGGGGAAATGCAAATCAAAGCCACAATGAGACACCTTTACACCTACCAAGATAACTATAATAAAAGAGATAGACAATAAGAAGTGTTGTTGAGGGTATGGGAAAGTTCAAACCCTCATACGTTGCTGGTGGGAACAGAGAAATGGTGCAGCTACTTGGGAAACAGTCTGGTGGTTTTTCAAACAATTAAACAGAGTGGCCATATGATCCAGCAACTCCACTTCTTACATCCAAGAGAATGGAAATGTAAGTCCACATAAGATCCTATGAATGGTTCACAGCAGCATTACTCATCAGTCCAAAAGGGGAAACGATCCAGAAGCCTATCAACTGCAGAAGAAATAAACAAAATGTGGTCTACCCGTAGAGTGGAATATTATTCAGCCATGAAAAAGAACAAAGTATTGAGGCAAGCTACAACATGGAGGAACCCTGAAAACACTGTGCTAAGTGGAAGAAGCCAGGCACAAAAGACCACATATTGTAGGATCCCATTTGCCTGAAACGTCCAAAACAGGCAAATCCATAGAGACAAAAAAAGAGATCAATGGTTAACAAGAGCTGGAGAAGGAAGGAGCTGGGAGTGACTGCACATGGGTACACTTCTTCGGGGGTGATGAAAATGTTCTAGAGTTAGTGGTGATGGTTGCAC